AGTTTATGTTCTAAAAATAGGCACAATTTCTACTACTTCAATCAAGGTATAATGATTAGAACATACTTAGAAACTCTCAACTGAAAGTGAAGCATAACAAGAGGCCCATGGGCCACATCGCTCACCTGAGAAGCTTTGACCATTCTCTTCTTTACCAGGTTTCCTCCTTGTAATACATTGTGCATCCCCACCCTACCCCACTGATTATAATTTAGACATTTTCAAATCTACACTACCCCAGGATCCTTCAATGTGCACATAACTTTCAGCTTTTCTATATTTCTATGTAAAACTTTGATTCCCCATTGTGGCCCCGCCCTTCCCCCGGGGGGTCATGATTTGAACAATTTAGAATCTACACTACCCCAAGATGCTTCCACATAAGTTTCAGCTTTTCTGGCCCAGTGGTTCTTAAGAAGAAGATTTTTTAAGATTTTTCCTGTATATTTCTATGTAAAACTTTGATTCCCCATTGTGGCCTCGCCCTTCCCCTGGGAGTCATGATTTGAACAATTTAGAATCTAAACTACCCCAAGATGCTTACACATAAGTTTCAGCTTTTCTGGCCCAGTGGTTCTTGAGAAGAAGATTTTCAAAGATTTTTCCTCATATATTTCTATGTAAAACTTTGATTCCCCATTGTGGCCCCGCCCTTCCCCCGGGGGTCATGATTTGAACAATTTAGAATCTACACTACCCCAAGATGCATCCACATAAGTTTCAGCTTTTCTGGCCCAGTGGTTCTTGAGAAGAAGATTTTCAAAGATTTTTCCTATATATTTCTATGTAAAACTTTGATTCCCCATTGTGGCCCCGCCCTTCCCCTGGGGGTCCTGATTTGAACAATTTAGAATCTAAACTACCCCAAGATGCTTACAGATAAGTTTCAGCTTTTCTGGCCCAGTGGTTCTTGAGAAGAAGATTTTCAAAGATTTTTCCTCATATATTTCTATGTAAAACTTTGATTCCCCATTGTGGCCCCGCCCTTCCCCCGGGGGTCATGATTTGAACAATTTAGAATCTACACTACCCCAAGATGCATCCACATAAGTTTCAGCTTTTCTGGCCCAGTGGTTCTTGAGAAGAAGATTTTCAAAGATTTTTCCTATATATTTCTATGTAAAACTTTGATTCCCCATTATGGCCCCGCCCTTCCCCAGGGGGTCATGATTTGAACAATTTAGAATCTACACTACCCCAAGATGCTTACACATAAGTTTCAGCTTTTCTGGCCCAGTGGTTCTTGAGAAGAAGATTTTCAAAGATTTTTCCTATATATTTCAATGTAAAACTTTGATTTCCCATTGTGGCCCCACCCTTCCCCCGGGGGTCATGATTTGAACAATTTAGAATCTACACTACCCCAAGATGCTTCCACATAAGTTTCAGCTTTTCTGGCCCAGTGGTTCTTGAGAAGAAGATTTTCAAAGATTTTTCCTATATATTTCTATGTAAAACTTTGATTCCCCATTGTGGCCCCGCCCTTCCCCCGGGGGTCATGATTTGAACAATTTAGACTCTACACTATACCAGGATGCTTCCATTTAAGTTTCAGCTTTTCTGGCCCAGTGGTTCTTGAGAAGAAGATTTTTTAATGACCCAACCCTATTTTTGTCTTTTCTTGATTATCTCCCCTTGTGAGGGGACTTGGCCCTTTATTTTAACAATTTAAATTCCCCTTCACCCAAGGATGCTTTGTACTAAGTTTGGTCAAAATTGGCCCAGTGGTTCTTGAGAAGAAGTCGAAAATGTGAAAAGTTTACAGACGGACAGACAGACGGACGGACGGACGACGGACAAAATATGATCAGAAAAGCTCACTTGAGCCTTCGGCTCAGGTGAGCTAAAAAAGTAGTAAAATACAATTTAATTGAAAGATTATGACTTACAATTAAGTAAGTCTGAGCTAATGTGAGATCACAATTTAAAATGTCTAAGCTGAGGTGAGATAAACACTTACAATGTCTGAGATAAAGACTTACAATGTCTTAGGTGAGATAAACACTTACAATGTCTGAGATAAACACTTACAATGTCTGAGCTATGATAAATACTTACAATGTCTGAGCTAAGGTGAGATAAACAATGTCTGAGATAAACACTTACAATGTCTGAGCTGAGCTGAGATAAACACTTACAATGTCTGAGATAAACACTTACAATGTCTGAGATAAACACTTACAACGTCTGAGATAAACACTTACAATGTCTGAGCTGATATAAACACTTACAATGTCTGAGCTGAGCTGATATAAACACTTACAATGTCCGAGCTGAGCTGAGATAAACACTTACAATGTCTGAGGTAAGTCAAACACTTACAATGTCTGAGCTGAGCTGAGATAAACACTTACAATGTCTGAGCACAGGTGAAATAAACACTTACAATGTCTGAGCTGAGCTGAGATAAACACTTACAATGTCTGAGGTGAAATAAATACTTACAATGTCTGAGATAAATACTTACAATGTCTGAGCCAAGGTGAGATAAACACTTACAATGTCTGAGCTGAGCTGAGATAAACACTTACAATGTCTGAGCACAGGTGAAATAAACACTTACAATGTCTGAGCTGAGCTGAGATAAACACTTACAATGTCTGAGGTGAGATAAACACTTACAATGTCTGAGATAAATACTTACAATGTCTGAGCCAAGGTGAGATAAACACTTACAATGTCTGAGCCGAGGTGAGATAAACACTTACAACATCTGAGATAAAAACTTACAATGTCTGAGCCGAGGTGAGATAAACACTATCAATGTCTGAGATAAACACTTACAATGTCTGAACCGAGGTGAGATAAACACTTACAATGTCTGAGATAAACACTTACAATGTCTGAGATAAAAACTTACAATGTCTGAGCCGAGTTGAGATCAGGTGAGGAGGCCAGGGCCAGGAGAGATGGCAGACAGTGGTTGTGATGGGAGCACTCGGGGGGAAGCATGGTACTGGCCTGTAAACAATCAACATTACTTAAACACATCCAGTACTTATTATCAAATTGAAATTTTTCTTTAACAGTCCACTTATAAATATTTTTAGCTGAATATATAATCACATTTTTCTTTTTTAACATCTCCATTTATGCTGTAACAGTAACTTACTAAATGAAGTAGGTCACCGAGGAGGATTGTGGCACGGACAAAGAGTTGACGGTCACTGCTGATTATCACTTCTACTAATGCCTGAAAATCAGTGTTAAAATAATCCAATTAAAAATAATACACGCTTTGCAATGATTCTTACACAAAATAGCAATATTCCAGACTTCAATTTACCACATGATTAAATATTTTAGTTTCAAAACTGAGGACATATCTGTTCCATCAATGGTTTACACATGCTAAAACCCTATTCCATGTTGAAATGTACTTCTACATTTTGATATAAAATATGTTCTACTAATGTTACCTCTAGAATTCCAGCTCCAATCCATGCAGACAGAAGTAATGCTAAATGGTTTTCAATTAAATTTGGTCTAAAATGAAAGAATGACATTAAAAGTATAAGTATGTTCAGTGGGATTTTTGGGAGTTTGAAAAAATCCTTTAGAAATAAATACTGAGTACATGTTTGATAGAATAAATGAGGAATGTGTATTATAGCACACCTGATTTTAGCCATGTGGGGCAGAATACACTTCCCCTCCTCAGCTACAAATCCATCTGTTATCTTCCAGTTTTCCTGCATCTCAGACGGATCTACAGAAAAACAACAGATATCACTGAAAATTGATATATATTCTTATCCATGACTGTAAACACATAAAAATAGGTACACTGTATCAATCTGTGAATATTTAAGCTAATTCACTTCCTTTCATCTTAAACTGTAACACTGGACAGGGTACGAGTTTAACAGCTGAGCTGGTGTACTTACCCACACTTAATAAAGCCGTGTCGAAATCATCTGTTGACTCGGGAATTTTCAACCGAAATAAATCAAATAAAATCTCTAGTATTCCATGCTGAAATCATCAAATAACCATTATTTATATTAATGCTTACATTAGAAATGAAGAAGAAAGATTATTATAATTGTCTCATTTGAGCAATTCAAAACAAGTAAACTACAACAGGTACCCTAATTTCTTTGTATGGTAGGTAGAGAATGCCAACAAGGGACTGTAAACCACTGCCATCGGGTCGACAAAAACGAATAATTCCTGTAATTAAAACAGAATTCAATTGCTTGTATGGCTCTTCCAATGTATTATCTGATTGATAGTGTAGGTAAAGTCTCAAAATTAACACTTTTTGTCTTTTTTAATTTAATACTGTACCAGTATTTTACAATTTTTATAATGATCAGAAATTCAGAACCCTAAATTGGCAATACAACATATAAAATACTTACCCGACCAAGTTCGCATGATGGAGACGACAGCCATTTTACTGGCTGCAAATCGATTCTCCTTCTCCTCACTACAAAATCAAAACAGTGTACACTTAATGTTGTGGGCAAAGATTAATAAGAGCTCTAACTGTACTGTATTAACTCCTATAGGTACAAAACTTCATATGTACATTCTTAGAGTCAAAATTTTAAGACAAAACAATTTCTAAGAGATCAAAACTTGTGATAAAACTTGAACTAACCCTGAGGATTGCTCTGATGACTCAGCACTGAATCTGTAATGGCAGTCTGTGAAGGGGGCTAACAGTTGCTAAAAATAGATTTAAAAATTGTAAACACATAAAGGAGGAACTGCTGACAAAATTAAACTGGATCTACAGTACTTTAAAGTCACATGACTATTAGATTATATCCACACTATAACCCTTACCTCTAGATCTGTGTTAAACTTGATGAAATGTCTGGTCCTGGGATGGTTCAGTAGATGTAGAATGGTGGACACCAGCGATTCGTTAATTCTGGGATATTGGTGGCAGTCCAGAGCAGCTCTTAAAATAGCACCAATTCCTCCACATCTTGCCAATAACTCAGGATTCACAAATGCTACAATAAACATAAACTTGTGCTGCATTAAGAAACCAATCATATAAGTGGAATATAAAGCATCAATACCTAAAATGTATGGTAAAAAGAAGTTAATTTCAAAATCTGCATTACTCAGTATTTTTTTATGTTTAGGTTTTCTAGGGAAAGAAATACTTGTACTACCTAGCTATAATTGAATTTATTTCCCGTTTTATGCAATATTTACCTGTTTTACGTTGTGTTCCCAGAATCACCTGCTCCACTTACATGTGAACTTGTTTCACATACTATAAATACCTCTCTGTACCAAACCTACCTGTTTCACATATTGTTCTATAAATACCCTCTCTGAACCAAACCTACCGGTTTCACATATTGTTCTATAAATACCCTCTCTGTACCAAACCTACCTGTTTCACATATTGCTCTATAAATACCTCTCCGTACCAAACTTACCTGTTTCACATACTGATCTATAAATACCTCTCTGTACCAAACTTACCTGTTTCACATATCGTTTCTAGAGCTATCCTGACCATTCGGTCTCTCTCGGCTGTTCCATCATTACTAATGGCAACCAATGGATAAAATAAGAGATCGGACAATTTCTTGGGTGCAATCTGCAGAATTTTTCTGACTAGTTTAATCCCATGTATTCTCTCTACTTCATTGTCTAAACATAAATCTATTGACCTGCAATACAAGTAGACATAATGTAATAAAATTGAATTGTGTTATTTATTTTCATCAGTGAGAAAAATTTATTAGATTATGAAAACTATCGGTAGTCAAATATCTGTACTGTATGTCAAGTATCATTAAAAAGAAATAGGACATATGAAATGAATATTAATAAATGAAGTGGGTTACAGACCTGACAATTAAGTAATCTATGTGGAGAGTGTAAAATAAATCGACGGTCTCTTGGTCCTGGAGAAAGTATCGCAGCACTCGTAACACTGCCGCTCGTACTTCTTTTGCCTCATGGAATAATCCTACTCTTAAACTGTAAAATACCACATAGTTCAGCTAAAATAAACTGTAAAATACCACATAGTTCAGCTAAAATACAATAGGACCTGATTGTTAACATGGGATAGAAATTGACAGGGGGAATGAAAATTTATGTAATTATCTGTAAAGTTTCCCACAAAAGTTTTAATTTTCACATTTTTAAATTGTTGAGTTCACTGATGAACTGTTTAAATGAGGAAATTTAAAACTGATTTTTTTGTTGTTGTAATTTTGGATAACCTTATGACAATACACATTGTATATACATTACTTTCTGATTAATATCTCAGCTATTACTCACCAACACAAAATATCTCTCTTTGTGAAGCCTGAGTATTTGTCATTTCCATATTTAAGTATAAGTTTGACTAAAGCATTCAGGTATGCTAGCTTCTTAGATTTTGGTATACTACTTTGGGAAACTATGACAGCTAAAATCTCTTTCAAATTTTCATTTGGGTCTGAAAAAGATGTAAAAAATCTATGAATATGGTGCAATATAGTATATTCTAGTAAACAAAAATGTAAGTATCAATACAAAATAATGAAAATACATGTATTAATATCAACTGCAGTGAACTTTTGTACCAAAACTCTAATACAATATTAATGGAAGTCAATCTATTTTCATTAAGTAACACCTTAAACTTTATCTCTATATACGAAAAACAAATTATCTATTAATTTGTGAAAATACAATTGTAAAATTTTCTGAAATTCTGATATTGCTTTTGTTTATAATTTAATGTACAATGTTATTAGATGATAAAAGTAAGGGAATATCTTGTCATTAAAGCTCATTACATGTCATGGAAAATCCCCACTTGGAAAAAGTTTTTATATTGTCTGATTGTTTAACTTCAAACAAAACAATATACAAATACCCTAACATTTTGAAGTGGAATTTCCACCAAAAGTCTATGTACCTTGCGTTTGTTTTTATTTTGCCTACTTCTTTATTCCTTGGTATTTAATTACTGTAATTTTATGTCACTTCATTGTTTTCATATAAATATGTGTTTATTACATTTCACTTGGAACCTTGTTCATTCTTCATTACTTCTATGTTGCTTTTTTCTGGTAAATATGTTCTTCTTTCTTTTAAATTCATCAATTTTTTTTAAAAATACATACCCGGTGTCATTACCGTAATAACGATTATCTGCATTTGAAGCATCCAAACAATAAAAACATTCAACAAAGTCAAGACAAATACAAGTTGTGTGAATTTAAAGCCACATTATAACGCCAGGTGGCAGGGTGTTACCTACGACTGTTGGTAAAATTGTGTAGGCAAACTCATATCTACTATTCGTTCCTATAGAAATTAATGTAGTGTGAAGTAGCAGATTATTGCTGGAATTCTTCAGCAATGAAAGTTTAAATGAATGGAACATTGCTATGAAAATTCATCAACTGATATTTTGTTGGATTTTATCCTTTTAACAAGCGCAGCTTGTCACTGCGAGCTTTTAAAGCAACACCTGGGCAAAGAGAAAATTCAGACTACTGCACATTCGTTCATCAGATTTGTTTTCCTCAGTAACTCTAGACCCGCAATGCATCACTCGTTAAAGATACGTTCTCGCAAGAGCAGCAAAGGTTTAACTAAAAGTTAAGACTTTGTGACTCAATGAATAAATATTGAAGATAAAAAGTAAACGAAACGTTCTTCATTTAATTTCAGCACCATTCAGGCTTCTTTTTGGTAATGTAATTTACATTAGACGTCATAATCTAGACGCATCAAATGGCACATGTGGCTTGACGAGCCCAATCTAACTATTAATTACAAAAGAAATATCTGCGCTCCCCAGAATGATCACACCATCAACTTATTAAAGGTAAGAAACACTGTCAACATATTAAAGGTAAGAAACGGATTCAAAGATTTATAGTGATAGGGAATTAAAAGGATGCCTACGTAAAAAAATTGTGGGTCAGTAATTCATTTCAATCCATATTGATCGAAACAAAACATCGAAGTAAGGTCAAGATTTCCCGAAACAATCTGTGTGACACTTGTCTGGGATTCGCAGAGATGTCACACCAAAATTTTTAGACTCGACAAATCTAGCCAAGATATTCTGTATCAACTAAAAAGAGGTTATATCATGGTCACTTTAAAAGATCTGATACTGTATAAGTTAAGTTACTTTTTATTTTTAAGAACTGTTCTGCATAAACAATTGGGAAAAATAAAAATTAAGCACTGTAGAGCTAAAAATGGACTTTATGGAGTACACACCTCTCGAAAAATCAAGCTTCAAATTTTCGTCTGCACTTTCATGTCGAGCTGAAATGAACAAAATATGCAATTATTCTGAAGATCCAGTGATTTATTTCTATGAATTACTGCTGGCTTAGGAAATTGTTCTCGTTTTTACCTCTGAATCGGCCACTTTTAACGAAAGGTCGACCGCCGTGGCGACCACTGGCCGCCATCTTTTTTCTGTTACTTCCTACTTTTTGTTAAGTCGTAGATAATTAATTCTTTATATTTATATATTACACTGTGTTGAAAAGTGCAAAGTTGAAATGAATACACATTGAATGATATATTTCAACATTACTTCTAATGCTAAAAAATAAGCAGAAAAATATTTATCTTCAGATTACGACAACTGCCGAAAGCTGAAAAGATAAACATGGACACGATGGAGGTGGTTGAGCCAAAGTTTACAAAACTTGTAGATGGCATGATGGGGGCTGAAGGCCCTGTATTTGACAAGGACGATAATTTCTACATGGTTGCACCTGAAGTAGAGAAAAATGGCAGTTTTGCGGGCCAGGTTCTACGCATTGATCTGAAGAATAGCAAGGTATTGAGAGGGGATTACGTGAGATCTCATCCCATAACAAACTCGGACTATGACTAAGTCGGACTATAGACCCTTTTCCTATGACATATTTTGCTTAGGGCGGTGCGTCGATTTACCCAAAAGGACCCAAAAGGACCCAAAAGAACCCAAAAGGACCCAAAAGGAACCCAAAAGGACCCAAAAGGAACCCAAAAGGACCCAAAAGGAAATTAAGAACAACCCAAAAGGACTTGAATAAAAGATAGTAAATGGATATATAATAAACATTTTCATATTTTATTAAATCTTAAACTATTTTTTTGAGGGTAAAGTGTGTGTTAGGGGTGGGGGTGGGAGGTCCCCCACCACCCACCACCCCCACTCATCCCCGATACCATATGCCTAGAACATGTCATAAAATAAAACTTTTTTCATTTATTAAATATCATATCGTAAGATATGGTAAAACAGAAAGAGAAGTAGATTAATACTTTGTTAATTTCAGCTAAAAGAAATCAAAGCATACCTGACCAGATTTAGTGTTTGATGTGCTTTAAAACTTGTATGTTATTGTTACAGTTGCAACAATACTTCGCTTTAGGTCTATGAACAATATAAGTATGTTTTGCCAACTTTTATGTAAAAATATAATATAATATTCGTGATTTACTTCAAATTATTAATTTTCAATGTATTATGATAGATTAATTAAAGTCCTTTTGGGTCCTTTTGGGTTCCTTTTGGGTCCTTTTGGGTTCCTTTTGGGTCCTTTTGGGTTCTTTTGGGTCCTTTTGGGTCCTTTTGGGTAAATCGACGCACCCGCTTAGGGTGCAAAACACAGTTTTATGTATGACGTTATCAGGACGTTACTTGGTGAGGGACAAGCAAAACTGACCCCTATAAAAAAATAAAATGGAGGCTTGTTACATAGACTTCTGCATATCAATGGAAAGATAAAATTGTGAATTTTGTAAATATCCAACTATAATACATTCATCCATTACTACTAGGGGGTATTTGACACCTGAAATATGGGGGATATTGGGTTGTTTATGCATCCATTTTCAGTGCACCTATGCATTTTTAACCCCCCTGCTCAACAAAAACAGAAAAAATCAGACAAAATAAGTTGTATGCATTTCACAAACAAGTCCTAAGGTTTTCTTTTAGTGTGCTTTCAGGGTACATTTTCCACCTCATGAAAGAGCTACATTCACCTGCTAATTGACTCATGCAATTCTGCACATGTGAAAACCGGATGTTTTGGGAGTTATCTCCCCTTATTAAAAAGTCTCATAAATTTTTTTTTCTAAAAATGAATGCACATTTTTTCCTTTAAATATTAAGATAAGATTCTACTTTATGTGAATAAAAACAAAAATGATGCAGTTTTCATCTAGACTCCTATAAATAGCAGGAAAATCCCTACCCAGCATGCTTCTCTCTGGGAAAAACCCCCTGGATTTTATACGAAACTGTGTTTAGCTACCTTAAAGGAAATAATTTTCTTTTGCAATTGACTTTTTTGTATTTAGGTGCAAAGAGGACAGAATTCCAAACATTTTGGTGCATAAATTGTTGAATTTGGTCCAGAAATGGCCAAGTAATTGTAAATTTAGTATTACATGTCTACGACATCGGTCGACGCATAAAACAGGACTTCGAAGAGAAATTCAAACCTAACCGAATCAGCTCACACAATAATTTTATTTTTCTTCAATTTAAAAAACACAAAGTATGAAATATACAGTATTTGAATATCAATAAAATGTTACATTATAAATTTTTTGAAAAGCTGCCAAACAATTTTTACAGATATTGCTAGTTTCTGTATAAACAAGGGGGAGGGGGTCTAATTGGAAATAGTCACTGTCTTAAATCAGAAGATTGCCTAAAAAATCTGGACGGTGTCATCCTAACTAGATACTCAATAGTTCTATGTCACATGTATATCTATACAGAAGATACATATTCTCATTTGCGATCAATTAAATTGAAGGTCATGACCTTGCGAAGCTTCCATTTTTGACATGACGTCACACTTTGATGTCACAATGCAGTTGCGTCATAATGTAAAATAACAACTTTAGCCCCTGAATCCTTATCATATGTATAAATTCTATGGAACATGTATCTAATAGGCATTATGCCTTACACAGTGTCAACTTGAGATTATATTGTATGGTTAACTACATAAATTAAAACAAATAAAGCAATTTTCTATGAACTTACATGCAAATAAATGAGGGAAATGTCATCAAATGCTACTCCTTAAGGGTGCAAAACACAGTTTTATGTATGACGTTATCAGGACGTTACTTGGTGAGGGACAAGCAAAACTGACCCCTATAAAAAAATAAAATGGAGGCTTGTTACATAGACTTCTGCATATCAATGGAAAGATAAAATTGTGAATTTTGTAAATATCCAACTATAATACATTCATCAATTACTACTAGGGGGTATTTGACACCTGAAATATGGGGGATATTGGGTTGTTTATGCATCCATTTTCAGTGCACCTATGCATTTTTAACCCCCCTGCTCAACAAAAACAGAAAAAATCAGACAAAATAAGTTGTATGCATTTCACAGAACAAGTCCTAAGGTTTTCTTTTAGTGTGCTTTCAGGGTACATTTTCCACCTCATGAAAGAGCTACATTACCTGCTAATTGACTCATGCAATTCTGCACATGTGAAAACCGGATGTTTTGGGAGTTATCTCCCCTTATTAAAAAGTCTCATAAATTTTTTTTTCTAAAAATGAATGCACATTTTTTCCTTTAAATATTAAGATAAGATTCTACTTTATGTGAATAAAAACAAAAATGATGCAGTTTTCATCTAGACTCCTATAAATAGCAGGAAAATCCCTACCCAGCATGCTTCTCTCTGGGAAAAACCCCCTGGATTTTATACGAAACTGTGTTTAGCTACCTTAAGAGTTATTCCCCTTAGCCGCCATCTTGTAGGGCAAAGTCGTGAATTTAGGGTGCGTCGATTTACCCAAATGGACCCAAATGGAACCCAAATGGACCCAAATGGAACCCAAATGGACCCAAATGGAAACTCAAATGGACCCAAATGGAAATCAAATGGACCCAAATGGAATATAAAATATATATATCATATCTTATTTCAAGTTTCTACTTATTTAAAATATAGAGAATAATGAAATTAAAACAAATAGAAAATATTATAATATGATTATTTTCTTCAATTGTATTTTCAAAAATGCGATTTAATTCTATTTGTAATAACTATTATTGAACATACTTGAATACAAAACTGAAGTATTTGATATTTTTTATGGCCGTAGGAACGGAGGTGGAGGTGGGGGTGGGGGGGTGGGGTGGAGGTCATGCCACCCCCTGCCCCTATCCCCCAATAATTTTGCCGGTATATAGGGTACTATCAAAACTTCATGTTTCAAAATACAATATTACAGACTTTTAAGTTAAAAAAATTAATTTGTAACTGTAAGTTCATTTATTTTCATCATTTAGATAAGTATTAAAATACGATAATACATATTTAATATTCCTTTTGATTTCCATTTGGGTCCATTTGAGTTTCCATTTGGGTCCATTTGGGTTCCATTTGGGTAAATCGACGCGCCGGTGAATTTACCTCTTTGAGCAACCAATTTTAAACATGCATGCAAGATAGAAATGGGGGGAAATATTTACAATCTTAAAATTATGAATTAATAGAGGCTTTGACAAACATATATTCATAAGCAAAATAGTGTTATCTTTACCTCTGTAACCAGTATAACAAATTGAACTTGGTTGAATAATGAAGGGATCTGGATATGTTGCCCTACAATATGGCGGCGAAGGGGAATAACTCCTAGACAAAATATGCCATAGGAAAAGGGTCTATTACGGAGTCGGCCTACACAAACTCGGACTATAACAGACTCGGCCTACCGCTAAAAATTTAAGATGTATAGCATAAGTTTATTTAGTTTAACGAATAAATTGTTTAATATTTATTTAAAAAAAATAATATAGGTGCTAGTGATTAAGTATTGAATTTTTTTTTTGCAAACCCTATATTTTACATGAAGTGATTTTTAGCTCACCTGAGCCGAAGGCTCAAGTGAGCTTTTCTGATCAAAATTTGTCCGTCGTCTGTCGTTGTTGTCGTTGGCGTTGTTGTCGTTGTCGTAAAATTTTCACATTTTCATCTTCTTCTCAAGAACCACTGGGCCAATTTCAACCAAACTTGCCACAAAGTATCCTTAGGTGAAGGGGATTCAAATTTGTTCAAATGAAGGGCCACGCCCTTTTCCAAGGGGAGATAATTATGAATTAGAGAAAAATTATGGGCGTTTTTAAAAAATCTTCTTCTCAAGAACCACTGGGCCAGGAAAGATGAAACTCATGTGGAATCATCCTCAGGTAGTGTAGATTCAAATTTGTTCAAATCATGACCCCCGGGGGTAGGGCAGGGCCACAAAGGCCGATCAAATTTTTACATAGGAGTATAAAGGAAAAATCTTTAAAAATCTTCTCAAGAAACACTGGGCCATGAAAGATGAAACTCATGTGGAATTATTCTCAGGTAGTGTAGATTCAAATTTGTTCAAATCATGACCCCCGAGGGTAGGGTGGGGCCAAAATGGCCGATCAAAGTTTTACATAGGAATATATAGGAAAAATCTTTAAAAATCTTCTTCTCAAGAACCACTGGGCCAGGAAAGATGAAACTCATGTGGAATCATCACCAGGTAGTGCAGATTCAAGTTTGTTAAAATCATGACCCCTGGGGGTAAGGTGGGGCCAAATGGCCGATAAAAGTTTTACATAGGAATATATAGGGAATCCTTTTAAAATCTTCTTTTCAAGTACTTCAAAGCCATGCTTATAGTGATATTTATAGGGAATCATCCTCAGGTAGTGTAGATTATAGTTTGTTCAAATCATGACTCCCTGGGGGGTTAAAATTCACCCCCCCCCCCCCCCCCCCCCAGTAAACTTTCAGTTCTGATCTGATATGTGCTTTTTCCTAGCCA